CGGTTTTAAATATACTGGAAAAACAGATAAAAATAATATCGAAGTAAAACTAAATGGCTCAAATTTCACATTAATTTAGCAAATACGGTAAAAATGTTAGGATAAAGAGTATTAACCAAAAGCATATATACATACACCACACATCTTTTTTCAAAGCACTTTACAAGCACTCGCTAACTGGATTCACAGAAATGCATAGTGGGTCTTGACAGATGATTTGTTCTGCACCTAAAGGTTCCTTAAATTACAAAGCTAAGCAAGTAGCAGTTAAAACCAGGGCTTGAAATTTACATAGTTCAGTGCTGTTTCTACTTCTTTATTCTCCCTCTCTAACTCATCTATAAAGACAACACTGTAACTGAGCTCACATTCTCACTCTCTGGAGTTTGCTAAGCAATGGCAAAAAGGCTCTTTTACTCAGGCGTAATGAAGACTGTATCAGAGATGAAGTTAGGAACTAGGCAGTCTCAAGAGATTAGTGTGTTGACATGGCAAGCTTTAAGTCCAAAGACCAGACTCTACCTGTGACTTACTTGATAATAACAAGAATAAATCATTTCAGTTTCTGTAAACACTGGAAAAAGCTGTGACAAAGATAGCTAGGTGAAAATTTTTATTCTTAAAAGTCCTAGTAACTAAAGAAAGGTGAGTAACCTTATGACTATAGATGAAACATATCCATTTTATTTTATTTTAATTAATTAATTAATTAAGTTTTTTGAGACAAGGTGTCACTCTGTGGCCTAGGCTGGACTGCAGTGGCACGTGATCATAGCTCACTTGAAGTCCTGAACTCCTGCATCAAGTAACCCTCCGGCCTCGGCCTCCTGAGTAGCTGGGACTACAGGCCCATGCCAACATGCCCTGTTCGGTTCTTTTCCTTCCTCTAGAGATGGGGATCTGCTTTGCTGCTCAGGCTGGTCTTGAATGCCTGGCCTCATGCAATCCTCTGGCCTCAGCCTACCAAAATGCTAGGATTATGGGTTGTGAGCCACCACACTCAGCTCCACATTCATATTTTAGAATGCTAAATTCAACTTTAATAAAACTAAGCTCTTCTTCATATTCTTGGCCAGGCACAGTGGCTCATGACTATAATCCTAGCACTTTGGGAGGCCAAGGCAGGAGGATCACTTGAGCCCAGGAGCTCAAGACCATTATTGTAAAAAATTATTATTATTATTTAATAAAATAAAGTTCTTTTTCATATTCTTAAATATCAGAAAATTCAATTACATTTTAAATATTATTTAACTATATTCAAGTAACCTACTGAGTCTATAACTAAAAGCATTGAGAAAGAAAGAGTCCAATTTTGCTGTTGACCTGTCATTAAGGCAACTATAAATTCCCACCAAGTTTAGTCAAACACCTCTAGTCTAAAATTCATTTTAATTGCCACATTTTCTTTAATATTAGTAATTTACTTAGATGCAGAATGTATTTTAGTATAAGAAATGTAATTTTGTGCTTTATATACACTTTACTTGCAAGTTTAAAAAAACTTTTTAGGCTGGGCGCGGTGGCTCATGCCTGTAATCCCAGCACTTTGGGAGGCCGAGGCAGGCAGATCACGAGGTCAAGAGATCAAAACCATCCTGGCCAACATGGTGAAACCCCCCTCTACTAAAAAATACAAAAATTAGCTGGGCGTGGTGGTGCACGCCTGTGGTGTTCGCGCCAAACGCTCGAGACAGTTAGTTGACTCGTCCCAGTTTGGCTGCTGGACCTGTACTGCATTTCCTCACCTCGAGGGCTGTCGAGTGAGACAGGGCTGTGAGCTGACTCACTAAAAGCAACAACAGAATGCAAAGCAAAGGCCTGCAGTTTATGAGGACATTGTGCTGTCTGCTTCCATGTCCCCCTTCAGTCTCTGTGTAAGCAATAAACTTGCTGCAATTGAAATGTCTAAGAGGAGCAGAGACCTCTGCCCATATTTTCCCTGGAGCCAAGCCTTTGTTTTAGCTCCTGGTGAAAAACAGGTTTAACCAGCACCTTAAGGGTGCCATTGTATCTTTGGAATGTAAAATCATTGAAATGTAAACTACTACCACTAGCCCCCTTAAACTGCTTCCTGAGCAGGATATCAAGCCCCGGATATCTATTTTATGGAGTTTGTTTCCTTTCTGTTTTCCCCTTTGTTTCTTTCTGCTGAGATGAGGTAAATGTAAACAAGACAAAAGGTATAAAAGCTGTAACCCACAAAAATAAATTTGCTGCGTTTTGGCCATAATCTTCACGCAGCCCTCCAGACTCTACTTTTCTATATTCCTTCTTTTCCGCGCACTCTCTCTCTCAGGTTGAACGAGACATCTACGTTGGCGGTCTCGGGGACTCCCGCGGGTCGGTAGTCCCCCGGCAAACCTGCCGGACCCCGACACGCGCCTATAGTCCCAGCTACTCAGGAGGCTGACACTAGAGAACTGCTTGAACCCAGGAGGCGGAGGTTGCAGTGAGCTGAGATTGTGTCACTGCACTCTAGCATGGCACCTGGCGACAGAGCAAATCTGTCTCAAAAAAAAAAACTTTAAAAAACTGACAAAAGTCTCTTAGTAAGAAGGAAAGGTTTCTGGTTTTTCTTTTAGCTTATCTAATTACACTTATGTGAAACAATGTAACTACACATTAGCTACACCAATGAAAAGCAATCCTGAAATCACTTTTAAAAATCCAATTTGAAAAAGGCTATTGTAAATAAAACAACATAGTTAAGTTTTCCTTGTTATTTATGTATAGGAATCAGAACAAAACAGAAATTTGTTCAATGTATTCAAAAGAAATATGAAATATTTTTAAGGGCAGAAGCTTTATCTCAGAGAGCAAGTCTCACTAATATTTAAAGAACAAGACTTCCTTCCTTACTTCATATTGTAAAATACGAAAACATCATGTACTAAAGTCTACTAAATGAACTTTAGTAAGCAGTATGTTCTGTAATTCAGTTCTGCTTTGAGATTCTAGACAAATTATTTATATTTTTAAAACAATAAGATAGCTGTAAAATGAGAATAAAGAAAAACCCAACAAATATGTTTAATGAGTTAGATTTAGTCATTACACAATGCATACATATTTGAAAACATTTTGTACATAATAAATATATGCAATTTTTTATCAAATATATTAATTTTGGGCAGGCACGGTGGTTCACACCTGTAATCCTAGCACTTTGGAAGGCTGAGGTGCATGGATCGCTTGAGCTCAAAAATTCAAGACCAGTCTGGGCAACATGGCAAAACCCTGTCTCTAAAAAAATACAAAAATTAGCCAGGCATGGTGATGCATGACTGTAGTCTCAGCTACTTGAAGGTGGGGGGTGTTGAGGCAGGAGAATCACTTGAACCCGGGAGGCGAAGGTTGCAGGGTTGCAGTGAGCTGAGATTGCACCACTGCACTCCAGCCTGGGTGACAGAATAAGATCCTGTTCAAAAAAAAAAAAAGGGCTGGGCACAGTGGCTCACACCTGTAATTCCAGCACTTGGGGAGGCCAAGGTGGGCAGATAAGGAGGTTAAGAGATCAAGACCATCCTGGCCAACATGGTGAAACCTCATCTCTACTCAAAATACAAAAATTAGCTGGGCATAATGGCACGCAGCTGTAATCTCAGCTACTCAGGTGGCTGAGGCAGGAGAACTGCTTAAACCCGGAAAGCAGAGGTTGCAGTAAGCCAAGATCACACCATTGCACTCCAGCCTGGCAACAAAGCAAGACTCCATCTCAAAACAAAAAGAAAAATTAATTTTAATAAATAAACCGGCCAGGCATGGTGGCTCACGCCTATAATCCCAGCACTTTGGGAGGCCGAGGCGGGTGGATCACAAAGTCAAGAGATCGAGACCATCCTGGTCAACAAGGTGAAACCCCGTCTCTACTAAAAATATAAAAAATTAGCTGGGCATGGTGGCGCGTGCCTGTAATCCCAGCTACTCAGGAGGCAGAGGCAGGAGATTTGCCTGAACCCAGAAGGCAGAGGTTGTGGTGAGCCGAGATCGCACCATTGCACTCCAGCCTGGGTAACAAGAGCAAAACTTCGTCTCAAAAAAGAAAAAAAAATACAGATTTCTAAGACAAAACATCCTCACAATCCAAACAAATGAAAATTTAAGTGCACAAAATTGATATCACCAAAAGAAAGCTTTCTCTTGCCTTATACTCTGGTATTCTGAATTTCTGTAAAAAGTGTGACAGATTTTGAAAACAAAAATTGCAATAAAAATAAACAGACATATAACCCACAAACTTGAGCTAGGTATAATGATGATAAAAACAAAGGTGAATTTAATGTTTAAACAAAATTTGAAAAAATAATTTGAAAAAAATATATAAAGTTAACAGTGATCAAGTGCTCAAAAGATACTCATTATAGAGATATGACAAAAATCTTGCAATATCCAAATGCTGAATACATTATGTTCATTTGATTTTTATATACAAGGAACTAGCCACTCATTAGGAGCTAAGCTGACATTTTTAACAGGTGCATATTCAATCTTCTATCACTAACCTAAATCACATCTTCTTTTGTTTATCATTACGGTCTTTTATAAAAACAACTGTATTGGACATCTTATATACATACCTCCACACAAGAGACACTAGTCCTCTTATTTTCTTTGGTAAATACTTAGGTTTTTAATAATTTTTTTTAATAATGAAACAGATAATACTTAAAAAATTTTGTGAACCATTTTCTATTTCCTTGTGACATTTAATATTCTTTAAGAAAAAATACAAGAAAAAAGTCTAAATTTGTCTGAAATTTAAGAATTCTCCCTTCATTTCTTTAATATCCTATACTTAACACAAACACATAGTTAACTTATAACCCAAAGATCAATATAAATGAGTGCTGATAAAAGTAGGTGAAACCACTTATCAGTATGTAATCTATATGCTTCCATCTTAATGCTGTATTTCACAAAGTAATAAATCAATCATAAAACCTTGTACTTTACTCAAAGGCCTTATCTAAACACATGCATTACGTGTTCCTTCTTAGGTTTCAATCTGTGAAATACCAGTGGGTAGCATGAGCAACTAAAACAGCAACCAATCATTTTGAACTTCAATTAAGCAGCATGAAGATTACTAAGTAACAAAGAAACGACTGCTGCTATCTTCCCACTGTCTTCCGTGTTTTGCATTTAGAAGCAAAAATATTAAGGATTATTAACGCAACTTTTCTTCTGTAACTTACTGGAAGAATGAGGTAAGAGGCTAAATGTTTCACATTTGTTTACTAAATTTAATGCTAGAACACAGTGAAATTTGGGAGGGAAATTTCTATTTTTAATTTAATCCTAGATTTATGTTATAAAGGTAACAGGAAACCATTTTGGAGAAATTTTTCTTTAATAAACATAAATTTTTTGAACAAAAGGTTTATTATTGTTAATTGAGAAAAAATTTGAGGTAGCTAAAGTTAACACTCAAATTATACTGGAAATTCCTTGCCTATTTTTACTAAATTTCTCATAACTTCCAGAAGTCAGGGGCTAAGTTTCCATATGTTAGCTATAGCATTAATAGCATGAAAGTGATTATAACTGTCTGAAATGATGAAGGAAATTTAACCAACTTCTTTTCCTTCCTAGGTAGTCATCTTTTTTATGCTAAAAATTATTCCCTCTGCTTTTATTGACTAGTAACAGATTTCAACCTAACTTGTAATGGCGTTATATCACAGATTCAAAATATGACCAATTACAGTAAAGCCAGAATTGGAATTATTTCTTGAGAAAATACAAATATGATATAAAATACAAATTACACCATTAATTCAAATCACAAAGAAACAGAGTTTCAAATATACCAGTCCCTAAACATATTTCCAACATGAATATATTGAGACTTTCTTCTGTGAAACAGGTTTACTTAGAGATAAAGTACAGATCTCATCTAGAGCAAAAGGAATCTTCTTGTATGTTTAATGGTGTTATCAAGTGTAACAGCAACTCCATGTGGACCGTGTACCAATTTCCAGTGGAGACGCTGTTACTTCTGATGGTTACCAACTTGCTACAATATAAAAGTATAATAAAGAAAGACAGAAAATTGTGGTCACTTGGAATCTGAATTGATTCTGGCAGAAACAAGATAAACTTTCAGCCTGTTTTGTAAAATCAACAAATAGAGGAGCTGTGGTGGCTTGGGCCAGTTGTCCTGGCGCTTGAGGAGGCGAGGCTATGCGTTCAAGGCCAACCTGGGCAAGGTTAAGAACCTCTCATTCATTAAAAAAAAAAAAAATCAACAAATGATTAAGAATTAATATCGATTTTCTTAAATTCGAGTGTTGTATCACCAAAAAGATCCAATAATGGAAGAGGATTAGAGTCATCATTCAGAAATGGTATACAGGAAAATGACCTATGAATTGACAGACAATATGGCTAAGTTTGTCTGTCATTTCTTTAGGCCAATATTCTGTCTGACTATGCTACTTCAGTATCAGAAATCAACAAACATCACGCAACCAACGCATTGGCAGATACACAGAAGAATCTGTAACACTACCACATAAATGTATTGAGTAAATAGAACATAAATATACCTAATGAAAACTTGTTTGTGTTTTTCTGACGAAGCTCATATTTATTTCACCTAACTTACTGACCAGTCAACCGATGTACCATTTAATTGTCAGGATAAATTATAGTCAAACCAGTTTGCTATATTTACTAATACATACGTATAATCCATCTCATAGTCCAGAGGGCTATTTCACCAAGGAATCCCCACCCACCTCAATCACCTCAGTAAAATTCCCTAGATATTTTGCCCTCTAATAAATAAAAAATAATTAGCCAGGCGTGGTGGCACACGCCTATAGTCCCAGTTATTCAGGAGGCTGAGACAGGGGAATCGCTTGAACCCAGGAGGCAGAGGCTGCAGTGAGCAGAGATCGTGCCATTGCACTCCAGCCTAACCATAGAGAAAAACTCCATTTCCAAAAAAAAAAAAAAAAAAAAATTAGCCAGGCGTAGTGGTGGGCGCCTGTAGTCTGACTACCTAGCAGGCTGGAGCAGAAAATCACTTGAACTCAGGACGCAGAGGTTCCAGGGAGCCAAGAATGTACCACTGCAATCCAGCCTAGGCGACAGAGTAACACTCTGTCTCAAAAAACAAAAAATATTCTGTGGTCTGTATTTTCCCAGAACCCTGAGATTAAAAAAATAAATTAAAATAAAATAAATGGTTCCAGGTACCTGTAGTAGGAAAAAGCCTGCTTTTCAGTGTACAAGCTTTTCTATTATGAATTCTTCACTATGTTCATCTATTATCTTTCCAAATTTTAAAAAATAATAAGGAAAGAAACAAGAAAGAACAGGGAATATAATGATCAGTGTAATGATGTGCATTTAATTATTTTATTGTATTTCTTGATTTTTAAGTAACTACACAATTACACAATTCCATTTCCACTGAAAAGGAGAGAAGACTCAGAATATGAGAGTGATGCTCTTCATTCATGAAGAAAAATGACATTTCAGGTTCCCCTGCTGAATACTGCCCATCTTTGGATCCAGGATATCTTAATCCAGCCCAATAAATTCTGATAGAAAAAAACCAGGGCCTTTACTTCTAAGTATCGATATTTATGTATATCTGGTTTTTAATATTTTACCTGTATGAAAGAATCTTTTTGAGTTTATATTTTAGTCCCCCAAAAAGGCTATTTTAGCATATTTTATTTAACATATATAAACAGTTCTCAATCATCCACATTATGTTTCCGTTTTTGAAGAAAAAAAACACACTAATACACTGAAAAATTTTAGAAAGCATTCTACCTGTTGATCAAGTATTCATCCTTTGTCTTATGATGAAACACAGGAATTGGAACACCCCAAGTTCTTTGCCTTGATATACACCAATATGGCCGCCTGTCCATCATTTCAACCATGGCATTCAGTGCTGATCCAGGAATAAATTTCACCTTTTTTAACAATTCCTGCAATAAATTCATAAATCAAGTCTTGTGAGAGAAAGCAGAACAAAGATTCTAGACAGTAAATTTTTGAAATGCATTTCTTTCTTTTGGATGTTTGTAGCCATTCACATGCCTCCCTTACCCCCCACCCAAAAAAATGAAAAACTAAAAGATTTCAAAGCAAATAAGGCAAAGTAAAAATGGAGCCATAAAGAATTTAATAAATAATATCAGGAGCAGACTTCACCTTTGAACAATGTTACAAAAGATTTCATGCCAATTTCCAATTTATACCAACCCTAGATCAAAACTGGTAATAAAAGCTTTCATAGGCTGGGCGCGGTGGCTCGCGCCTGTAATCCCAGCACTTTGGGAGGCCAAGGCAGGTGGATCACGAGGTCAAGAGATTGAGACCATCCTGGTCAACATGGTGAAACCCCATCTCTACTAAAAATACAAAAAATTAGTTGGGCATGGTGGCGCGTGCCTGTAATCCCAGCTACTCAGGAGGCAGAGGTAGAATTGCCTGAACCCAGAAGGCGGAGGTTGCAGTGAACCGAGATCGCACCATTGCACTCCAGCCTGGGTAACAAGAGCAAAACTCCGTCTAAAAAAAAAAAAAAAGCTTTCATAGAAGTATAATACTTCACTAACGTATAGTTAAAAATCAATTCAAACTTGATTTCCACCATTTTTGAAGCATTTTTTAAAATGCTTAAAAAATAAATTACTAGGCTGGGCACAGTGGCCCATGCCTGTAATCCCACCACTTTGGGAGGCTGACGTGGGTGGATCACCTGAGGTCAGGAGTTCAAGACCAGCCTGAGCAATATGAAGAAACTGCATCTCCACCAAAAATAAAAAATTAGCCGGGCGTGGTGCCACATGCCTGTAATCCCAGCTACTCAAGAAGCTGAGGCAGGAGAATCACTTGAACCCGAGAGGCAGAGGTTGCCATAAGCCAAGATCATGCCATTGCACTCCAAACTGGGCAACAACAGTGAAACTCCATCTCAAAAAAAATAAAAATACATAAAAGAAATTACTATCGTAAGCTGCCAAAAAAAGATTGCAATATACCTAATTTTACATAATATAGTTTACAATACCAAAAACACTTTCTCAAAATAAGGCCAAGCATGTGGCTCACACCAGTAATCCTAGCATTTTGGGAGGCTGACATAGGAGGATCACCTGAGCCCAGGAGTTCAAGGTTGCTGTGAGCTATGACCATGGCACTGCACTCCAGCCTGGGCGACAGAGCAAGAGCCTGTCTCTAAAATAAATATCTATCTATAAACAGACAAATGGGTAACAGTTACTTCCTCTCAATAAAGCTGCCTTCCTTCACTCCCCCACAAAAAGGCTAAAAACTACTATCATTTGATTTTGTCAATTAGCAAAAGATGAATTGTATAGCAAAAATGTTTATTAATAGTCTCCAAAAAGGTCAAAATGTTAATTTCATTTTTAAAAATCTTTCTATCCATTAATAAAAGCATTGTTACATTTTCAGAGAAGGTTTAAATGCTTTCCTCGCTCACCGTTTACTACCAGCAGTCCCCTCCCCCAAAACTCTCTGTAGCACCATCTATTGGCAGAATGGCAAAATGCCTACAAATCAATTTGATTAATACTATACTTGGTTTAAAAGTACAAGAAATGTAAATATTGAATAGATACTTGATTATGCTAAGGAATAACTATTGCTTTTTCAATGCTGTGATAATAGCATGGGAATTATGCTTTAAAGAGTTTATCTTGGGCTCATGCCTGTAATCCTAGCACTTTGAGACGCTGAAGCAGGCAGACTGCTTTGAGCTCAGGAGTTCAAAACCAACCTAGGCAACCTGAGGAAACCCTATCTCTACAAAAAATACAAAAATCAGCCAGGCATGGCAGCACACACCTGTAGTCCCAGCTACTCTGGAGGCTGAGGTGGGAGGATCATTTGAGCCTGGAAGGTGAAGGTTTCAGTGAGCTGAGATCACACTACTGTACTCCAGTCTGGGTGACAGAGCAAGACCCTACTTAAAAAAAAAAAAGAGTCTGGGCCGGGCGTGGTGGCCCAAGCCTGTAATCCCAGGACTTTGGGAGGCCGAGGCGGGTGGATCACGAAGTCAAGAGATGGAGACCATTCTGGTCAACATGGCGAAACCCCGTCTCTACTAAAAATACAAAAAATTAGCTGGGCATGGTGGCACATGCCTGTAATTCCAGCTACTCAGGAGGCGGAGGCAGGAGAATTGCCTGAACCCAGGAGGCGGAGGTTGCAGTGAGCCGAGATCGTGCCACTGCACTCCAGCCTGGGTAACAAGAGCGAAACTCCATCTCAAAAAAAAAAAAAAAAAAAGTTTACCTTTCAAATATATGTGCTAAGATATTGCCAGGACAATATATAATATGGAAAAAATAAAGCCTGGAGTTTGGTTCAAAATAATACAATTGGTAAGGGGTAAAAAGTGGGTGGTAGAAGAGATGTAGATAAAAACAAAATTGACCAGGCATGGTGGCTCACACCTGTAATCCCAGCACTTTGGGAGGCAGGGGCAGGCAGATCACAAGGTCAGGAGTTCGAGACCAGCCTGGCCAACACGGTGAAACCCCATCTCTACTAAAAATACAAAAATTAACCAGGGATCGTGGCACGCGCCTGCAGTCTCAGCTACTTGGGAGGCTGAGGCAGGAGAATTGCTTCAACCAGCAGGCAGAGATTGCAGTGAGCAGAGATCATGCCACTGCACTCCAGCCTGGCAATAGGGCAAGACTCCGTTTCAAAACAAAATAAAACGAAACAAAATTAACCAAAAGCTCATTATTGTTGAAACTGAGTGATGGGACTATGACGATACATTATCTTATTCTCACTAATTCTGCAAACAACAATTTTTTTTTTTTTAGAGATGGGGTTTCACCATGTTGGCCAGGATGGTCTTGATCTCTTGACCTCGTGATCTGCCCACCTAAGCCTCCCAAAGTGCTGGGACCACAGGCGTGAGCCACCACGGCCGGCCACAACAATTTTTAACTTTACAAAAAAGTTAAAAAAAAAAACTTAGCTTAAATACATTGCATCAGACTTGGACATTCTACAATCAAAAATCGGTGCAGAGCTGCAATTGACAGATCTGCAATTTACAAATTTTAACACTGACAAATAAGGAAGAGAGGCTTTAAATGAAGAAAAAAAAACAAAACATACTATATATTACCGTTGTCCACATTACACAAGTATAGACAGTATAAACTGCTGTAAACAGCTTTGGCAAGGACCCCAAATTGCCAGGCCAATAAATAAACCGGCTTAATACAGTAATATATTTCAAACTGTGAAGCAAAATATCTATATATTCAAACTGGTTAACATATATATATATATTTATATATATATTTTTTTAATTAAACTAAGTTCTGAGGTACATGTGCAGATCTTGCAGGACTGTTACACATGCCATGGTGGTTTGCTGCCTCTGTCCCCCCGTCACCTACATTAGGTATTTCTCCTAATGTTATCCCTCCCCAATCTCCCATCCCCTGCTATCCCTCCCCAAGACCCCCAGCCCCCAACAGACCCCAGTGTGTGATGTTCTCCCTGGGTCCATGTGTTCTCACTGCTCAACACCCACCTATGAGTAAGAACAAACGGTGTTTGGTTTTCTGTTCCTGTGTCAGTTTGCTGAGAATGATGGTTTCCAGATTCATCCATGTCCCTGCAAAGGACATGAACTCATCCTTTTTTATGGCTGCATAGTATTCCATGGTGTATATATGCCACATTTTCTTTATCCGGTCTATCAATGATGGGCATTTGGGTTAGTTCCAAGTCTTTGCTATTGTAAAGAGCGCCACAATGAACATACATGTGAATGTGTCTTTAAAGAATGATTTATAATCCTTTGGGTATATACCCAGTAATGGGATTGCGGGGTCAAATTGTATTTCTATTTCTAGACCTTTTACGAATCACCACACTATCTTCCACATGTTTGAACTAATTTATACTTCCACCAACAGTAAAAGCGTTCCTATTTCTGCAAACACATATATATTTAAGTTCTTTCATTAAATCAAGTTGTGAGAGATGTTTACACACACCCACATAGAAAGATACATATTAAATAAAAGGGCTCAAATATATGTATAGTATTTAGAACACCAGTAATAAGCATTCGTTAACTAAAAGAAACAACTTCCTATATGATTAATCTTACTTTTTAATATGCTTCCTTTGTAACTAGAACAGTAACTTTTTAAATTAATTGCAATTCCAGTCTCAAGAAAGCAAAGGGTTTAAAAAGATTTTACTGAATGCTTATTATGTATCAGATCATATTCTGGAAACCTGTATTCCCTTACTGTATGAGATAGGCATTATCATCACTTTCTACAGATGAGAAAACAGAGGCTGCAGCAGGTTAAACGCGGACATAGTTCTGTCCAAACTTTGACTACACTGAGCAAGAAAGTCTATCTACTCACAGTGTGATCTGGACAAATCACTTGACCTTTTCATGCCTCATTTCCCACACACGTATAATGAAAAAAATGGTAGTCCAAGGTCCTTCCAGATTTAATACTCTACAATTTTATTAAACTAAACCTTAATAGCAACAATGCTTTCCACTTCCGAAACCCCACCTCAACCTCATATGCAGCCCTTTTATACGGAGGGAATGATAAACCCAAACCCTTATACTAGGATGCTTTTCATACCTTGGCTGTAGTCTTAATATCCGCGATATTTATAAACCACTGCTTGCTGGCACGAATAACCACTGGTTTCTTAGTCCTCCAGTCATAGGGATAGCTGTGTACCAATTTTTCTTCTTTCAACAAATTCTTTGCAGTCTGAAGCATCTTTATA